TAGACAATGACAAGTATTGGTGAGGATGTGAAGAAATTACAATCCTGATGCATTGCTGGTGGGAATGTAAAATAGTGCGGCCACTGTGGGAAACAGTCTGGCAGGTCCCTAAAACGTTAAACAGGCTAAAAACAAAACAACAACTGCCCCCCCAAAATGGAATTGCTTATGCTAAGCCCCATATCATCAAACAAGACTTAATTACAGTTTTGGCTCTCCCGGAAATGGAATCTCAAACCAATCAATCAGGAGTCACCTGATCAGCACTAGCTAGGTGATGTGACTGATACACCCCTGCCATCCCTTAAAGGAAAGTAACTTTGCCATAACCAAACTGCTTTTTTGCCTCGTAGAACTTCCTTGTTCCTTCTCCCTTCTGCCTATGAAAGTCTTTCATTTTGCACAGCAACTCAGAGCTCCTTTCTATCTGCTAGATTGGATGTTGCCCAATTCATGAATTGTTGAATAAAACCAATAAGATCTTCAAAATTTACTCTTGAATTTTATTTTTTAACACATAAGTTACCATATGACCCAGCAATTCCACCCCTAGATATCTCCCCAAGAGAACTGAAAACATATAGCTGCACAAAAACTTACACAAATGTTTATAGAAGCATTATTTATAATATCCAAAAAATGGAAACCTCCTAAATGCCCACTAATGGATTGAATGGATAAATAAAATGTGGTACATCCATACAGCAGAATACTACTCTGCAATTAAAGGAATGGGAGTATGGATACATGCTACAACATGGATGAGCTTTGAAACCATTATGTCAAGATACATACTGTATGATTCCATTCATATGCAATGTCCAGAATAAGCAAATCCATAGAAGCAGGAAGTATATTGGTGGTGCCAGGAGGTGGGGGGCAAGAGGAATGGGAACCGCTAATGGGAAGGAAAGGGGTTCTTTTCAGGGCATTGAAAATGGTCTAAAATTTCATGGCAATGCTTGCATGACTCTGTGAATATACTAAAAACCACTGACCTGTACACATTAAATGGGTAAATTGTAGGGTATATGAATTACATCTCAATAAAACTGTTTTTAGAAGCGTTATCTGATGTGAACCGGCCAAAGGTGCCTAGCTAACTTAGTTGGTAGGGCATGAGACTTAATGTGAACAGGCTGAGACTTAATGTGTACAGGCTGATCGCCAATCAGAGACCTAAGAGGAAGGGGCTGACTGCTCCGATCGCTTCCCTGATTGTTCTAGACTAGTCCATCTCAAATCCAGAGCAAGGTGAAGATTCAGATAGGGATGGTAGTAACTCCAAACAGCTTTAATTCCATTAGGTCTATGCTTGACCAGGGAAAATGGCTGCACAGCACAGCCACCAGCAGTCCAAATCAACCCAAATCATTGCTCCTACAGAGCACCCAAGCCTAGCCTCTCCTGAACGATACTGACGCCTCTCAATACACCAAAGCAACCTAATATGTCTCCACTTCATACTCTCAAATAGCTGGCTGCATAATCTCTGCCACGGGTAGGGGAAAATAACATTCCTCAAGCGGGGACTGCATGCCCATTACAACAATGTTACAAAACATGCATTAATATTATTATTTCTATTTTACAAATTGGGAGACCGAGGCATGGAATGGTTAGGTAATTTGGCCAAGGTCACAGAGCTACTCAGCGGCATGGCCAGGATTTGAACCCGGTGCTCGTGCCAACGACAATGTGCTTAACCGGGATGCCCTTCTGTGCTCCAAGAAAAGCCCTTTCACACCTTTCCTACTCAATCTCCCCACTTTTTATACCTGTGCAGTTATCTAGCAAAGAGCAATTCCGTGTCTGGTTCGCCTGGTTCCCATTTGTCCCCCCAAACATAGTTTGTTTTTTTTTTTAAAGATTTATGTATTTATTTGAGAGAGCGAGAATGAGAGAGAGAGAGTACATGAGAGGGGGGTAGGGTCAGAGGGAGAAGCAGGCTCCTCGCTGAGCAGGGAGCCCGATGCGGGACTCGATCCCGGGACTCCGGGAGCATGACCTGAGCCGAAGGCAGTCGCTTAACCAACTGAGCCACCCAGGCGCCCCCAAACATAGTTTTCATATGGTTTAAATTCACTGTTCTGACCAACCAGAGCACAACATTGTTTCCAATGTTGTTTTCCCAGCCTCCCACCCTTGGAGCACAACAATAAAAGTGCACACAATTCTGTGCAAACATTCAGTGCAAAACTCAGAGTCTTCTAAACTCTAGCTCGGCTGTCCCCCTTTCAGTACTCTCAACACTCCTCTAGTCCCCAGCAGTATTGCCCCCCACCAATAGACATTCATCATGGCCATAGGACAGGTCACAGCCTTCGGGGCAGGTAGAAATGTAGGGAATAAACACTTCAAAATAAGCATAGTTGAAGCACATGCATGGCTAGCAGAGTGTCTAAGAGCAAAGACTTTGGGACCAGCCCGCCGTGGGTTGAAATCCCAGCTCCACTAGCTGTGTCATTTTAGCCAACTTACTTAACCTCTTTGAACTGCAGTTTAAATTCTTCAAAATCTAGGTAATAATGTGTCTCTCTCCAGGGGTCCTGAGGATTGAATGAAATTATAATAAACACCAGAGACATATTCTGAACTTTCAATTAAGAAATACAATCACCTATAAAGCAGTAAACATGAGTCATTTTTGGCAAACCCTAGTAGTTAACTGCCAATGTTGGTGAATAACGGGAGAGAAGTCTGGAAAGGCAAATTGAGACCAAAACCAAACCTTTAAAGATTAGGAAAATTTTGGAAAAATAAGAAGAGTGATAACGTTTGGGTATAGAGGAGAGAAAGAGAGGAGAGGGGAGCGGAGGGGGACGGGAGGGGAGGGGAATGGAGCA